GCGGCGGCTTCGTCATCTCCATCAAGGCGTCGTGCATCGACTCCACGGCGACGCCCGAGGCCGTCTTCGCGCGCGAGGTCGCCAAGCTCCAGGCCGAGCAGTTCAAGCCCGCGGAGCAGCTCACGCTCGAGCCCTACGAGCGGGACCACGCGGTCGTCGTCGGCCAGTACCGCGTCCCCAAGAAGAAGTAGCCCGCAAGTTCCCCGACCCCCTCCCCCTCCCTTCCCCGACCGTTAACTCCTCGGACAAGAGCCTGCGAGCAACGCCTCGCGTTGCGGGCGACGGCGTCGTGTGCGTCGACGCGTGGGCTCCGGGCGAGGCCTACGTCCTGTGAGGGGGGACGGTAAAACGGTGCGTGCCGCGGTCCCCGGCCACGTCCCCGGCCCGTGCCCGGGCCGTGCCCGGGGCCCCGTGCCGGGCCCGTGCCGGGCCTCCCCGGCCCGTGCCCGGCCCGTGCCCGGGGCCCGTGCCGAGTGCCGGGCCCGTGCCGGGCCGCGTGGCCCGTGCCCGGCCCGTGCCCGGGGGCCCGTGCCGAGTGCCGTGCCGCGTGCCGGGCCCGTGCCGGGCCGCGTGCCCGGAGCGCATTTACCGTGCCGGAACCCCCGTGCCCGCCGTCCCCGGCCCCCGTCCCGGGGCCGGACCGTCGTGCAGGGGCCCGTCCTGTGCTGCGCCATGTCGGCGAGGCGACCGACGACGTCCTCCGACTAGCGAAGGTGAGTCGACTGTTGCGCCCCCCGCCGCGCGCCGAAGTCATGTCGTGGCGGGAGAAGAAGTTGGAGTATGAGAATCGCATGGCCCGAGCGAGGGGCAAAAAACTCGACACCCTAAAGACCTGCACGATCTGCGGCGCCGACAAGGCCAAGGCGTGCAAAGGGTGCGGCACGACGGCCTACTGTTCGACGGACTGCCAACGCATCGACTGGCGCGACCGGGGCCACCGGAAGGTCTGCAAGAAGATCCAGGCCGCGGAGGCGGCGCGGGCCGAAGCGCCGACGCCCCCGCCGTCGCCGCCGCGGGACGTGTTCTACGGCCCCGCGCCGCGGTCGCACGCCGACGAGGTCCGCGCGCGCCTCCGCGAGCGGGACGAGGCCGCCCGCGTGCTGCGCAAGGCGAACCCGGAGCCGGCGCCGCTGTCAGCGCGGTACGGGTCGCGGTGCCCCATCTGCCTCGAGGAGTGGGACGTGAATGATTCGGGCGTGTTTCGCATCTGTTGCTGCGGACAGGGGTCCAGCTCCCATAAACAGAAGCAACATCGTCGGAAATCCGGAAAAGTACATTTACGGTCGCTACGACGCCGGGGACGTCTGGTCTTACCCCGGGGACGCAGAGCCGAAGCCAGAGGCGTCGACGGACGCCATTTGCGCCGTCGGCCCCGGCCCCGGTCGGTCGGCCGGCCGGCCGGCCGTCGTCGTCGTCGTCGTCGTCGTCGTCGTCGTCGTCGTCGTCGTCGCGCGCGCGCGCGCGTGGAGATTATAGCGGAGAGCAAGTCCATGGCTTCCTCGGACATGTTCTAGACCACCTCCATGAAGCCGCGCAGCGCCCAGGCACCGGTTTTGGTCTGGAGCGCCTCCTTGCCGCGCGAAGCGCGGGAGAAAAAATTCGGCGGGATCCAGCGCGCGTAGCGGTCCAGAACCGGCGCAGCTGCACGTGTCGCTCGCGCACGGCGTGCAAGCGATCGCGCCCTCGCCGGAGAATGAGGCCGCTCCGCGCAGCCGCCGCCGCCGCAGACGCCGCTGCCACAGAGTCGCCGCACCCGCCCCGCGCGCAGCGCGGGAGAAAATTTCGACTTCGTCGCTGGCCAGAGCGTAGAAATGACCCTCGCGAACAGGTGTCAGGTCAGGCGCGCAGCGCAGCAAGTCCACCGCGCGCAGCGCGCTGAGATGGTAGCGCCATGCTCTCACTCGGCTGTGGTATTTTTCGTCCGCAGACTGTCGCCGGGGGTTTCAGAAAGGTAAAGTGATCGATTTCGCCGGGGGGCGCCGCCCGAAGCCCAAAAACGTTACTTTACCTCCCCAAAGCGTCTAGGAACCCTCCGCGGACGCTGGATTCGCCCCCGCATAGAGGTCCTACGTATAATCCGTATAGCGCATGGGTTTATGGGAGCTGGACCCACAGGTCTGCCAGTCGTGCGAGGACAAGATCGGAAACGCGTGCCCCCTCTGTCGTGTACCGCTCGCAGAAAATGAAGCGGAAGACCTCGCCCGTCTGCGCCGCCATGTGGAGAACGAGGTGCCGGAAGCGATTACGTTTTTGGGAACTGCGTACAATCGCGGTTGGTACGGCCTCGTGAAATCCGATAAGAAAGCCGCGAAGATTTGGAAGCGCGCCGTGGAGCTCGGGAACGTGGACGCGATGGTTGAACTTGGGGCGATGTACGAGAATGGAATTGGCGTCAAGCTGGACAAGAAGAAGGCGGAGCGGCTGTCTCAGTGCACCGATCAAAACTCAGATTCTGATAGCCTGGATTTAAAAGTCAACATTTTTGTTGAACTTCAGCACTTTTGTTGAAGTTAAATCTTGCGATTTCGCGACCCGAACCAGCGACCGCGCGCAAAAAGCCATCGCAAACGTGCAATTAACGCGCGAATATCATCAAACTTGCTTTGATACGACCAT